TATGTATTTTTCTATTCGTTCTAGCTTTGTAATTAGCCTCTGTGCTGTTAAGTTTGCAAGTAAATAAACATGAATTGAATTGAATTATTATTATTATTGTTTGACTGTGAACCGTGGTCTCTTAAGCGAGACTTAGAGGTTGGCTGTGAAAGTGAATGTCTTCTGTGATCTGATGACGTGTTGACATGAAGTCTGATAGATATTCATCAACATTTATGAGGACTCACCTGTCTTCATCTTAGGGCTATAACATTCTTACATATATCTACCAGTCTATACGGCACGTGGTAGCGTAGTTGGTTGAGGTACTCTGCTACAAGCCAGAAGGTCGAGGTTCGAGTCCCGATGAGGTGGATTTTTCAATTGACCTAACCCTTCCAGCCGCACTATGGCCCTGGGGTCGAGTCAATCTCTAACAGAAAGGAGTATCAGGAAACTTCCTGGGGGTAGAGGGCGGCAGGCGCATATGGCTGACAACCTCACCGCCATCTGTGAGCCGATTGTCTAGAAAATGTGGGAGCCTCGACATCTCACCTATGGGTCTCCACGGTCTGTTACAGGGATAACTTTACCTTTTTACCTTTTTTATCTACCAGACTATAGATTGCATGGCACATTACCTCACCTTCATGATGCGTCTTGATGGCGAGGGGATCACCTCTTTAGCTGTTTTAAGTGGGCCAGAAGATATGGTCCAGTGGATGGCTCTTGCGGACATGGCATGTATCTTCAGTTTTCGTCAAAGTGACGAAATTCGTGATTATCCGAGCGACTGTCACGTTCTCCCCAAAGGCTCTGAACCACGGAGCTATGGGTGATTTTACATTACGGTGTAAATAAACTTGCAAGTAGGCCTTTGTAGCACACAATTCAGATTTCCGCAGCGATGAATATTCTTAGATCATAGCCACCGAAGTTACGACATCGCATGTCTGGTAAGTCTCGAATGAACTTGAGTGCTAATTATATATGAGACTGAAGGGCATTTTCATTTTATTAACAGATTATAATTATTACAATGTATATATATATATTGCTTCGCCTGATATAAATCCCACATTATCTAAGGACCTAAATAAATATTTGGGCCGAAGCGACTTTCTCCCAGAAAATTTCTAGAACAACAGTTTCGGGCAGGCAGAGAACAAACGTTTTGCCAATAGAACTACAATTCTGTCACGAACCTCGTTAATAATGCCAAAATCTTAGAAACAGCCAAGAGTTGCTCCTTCTCTCTAAACGTTGCCACCATTTTATGGAACCAAAATGTTCGTCACTGTGCTCATAAGAGCCCGCCGTGGTCCCTACTCCGAGCCACATGACTCTAGTCGACATTCTCCACAAACATTTCTTGAAGATCAATTTTAACACTGTCACCCAACATACACTTTTATCTTTCTACTTGTATTTTTCCTTCAAAAATGATTACCAAAACTTCGTAGGCCTAAGAAATTTCTTTGTATTCTATGCGTGGTACTCTGTCCATCTCATCCTAGTTCATTCCAGCGTTCAAATAATATTAGAAAAGGAGTAAGAAATGCGAAGCTCCTCTTTATGAAATTATATCCAATCTCTTGTTAGTTTGTTTCCCTTAGTTACAAGTATTCTCCTCGGCACCCCGTTCTCAGTTACCTTCAATATATGTTCTTCACTTAGGGTCGCATACTGAGTTTCACACCCGGAAACTATACTGCTAGTCTTTAGATTATGCCGATGTCCTGGGCAAAGTAAACTATGAAATCACCTTGATGAGCCACTCACATAGGACCGCTAGGTGACCGCAAATCAACTGAGGAGGCACTCACACAGGACAGCTAGGTGAGCGCAGATCAACTGAGGAACCAATCACACAGGACAGTTAGGTGAGCGCAGATCGACCGAGGAGCCACTCACACGGGACAGCTAGGTGAGCGCATATCAACTGAGGAGCCACTCTCACAGGACAGGTAGGTGAACGCAGGTCAACTGAGGAACCACTGACACAGGACAGCTAGATGAGCGCAGCTCAACTGGTGGGCCACTCACACAGGACAATTATGTGAGCGCAGATCGACACGTCTTAAATATACCAGGGTAATGGGCATACAAACATTAAGTTGAATCGTTGTATGACAATTTACTGAGTGAATACATAAGCACTGTCCAACCTGCACTGGCTGCCCACAAAATCGGCTGTCGGCCATCCTTGTCTCTGACATTAACCTCAACGCCCCTGGCGAGCAGTTTGCGTAACACGGCCAGCCCGAATCTCACGTCGTTGCCCATCTCAGAGTTCGGGCCGCACATTTGGGCAGCGTAATGGACGGGATAACCTCCATGGATATCGGGCGTCGATGGGTTGGCACCAGCGTCTAGGACCAGCTCCAGAGCCTCCACCTCTCCACACACTGGAAACAGAATCAGTCGGGTACATCATGCAGTAATAGTGCGGGGACGGCCACCATGAAGACTGTGAGGCTGCGTACCGCTCCGTCTTCAGGGTAAAATCTGACTCAGGGTGGATCTTCAAAATATTCATATTTGTCTACAAAACTACACCACGTCACACCCTAGAAGACAGTAATTTTCCTAGTTCCTCAGCCTTTCCTGAGTCAGACTAGAATTGCAGTGGAATCTGCCTTTCTCACAATGTGCAGCACAAATTGTAAATGTAAATGCAAAGGTAAAATTAAGGTAATTGTAAATGTAAACGAAAAGGTAAAATTGTGAGTAAATATTAATGCGAAGGTTTATACAAAGATAAATGTAAATATAAAGTTAAATATAAATGTATAGGTAAACGCAATGGTAAATTGTAGGTAAATGTAAATGTAAAGTAAATGCAAATGTAAATTATGGGTAAATGCAAAGATAAAAGTAAAGATAAATGTAAATATAAAGGTAAGCGCAAATGTAAAGGTAAATTCAAATGTAAAGGTAAACGAAAATATAAATGTAAATGTAAATGTAAAGATAAAAGTAAAGATAAATGTAAATATAAAGGTAAGCGCAAATGTAAAGGTAAATTCAAATGTAAAGGTAAACGAAAATATAAATGTAAATGTAAATGTAAAGGTGAATGTGAAGGTAAATTCGTCTCTATGCTTAACTGAGCACGACGCCATGAAGTCATATGCAGGAGTGGAGAGAGACGTTTCACGATTTCTAAATCTCGGCACCAGTGGTCAGCTTCAAACTCCGGAGGAATGGGCCCCAGGGAGGGTATGGGCTGTAGAACATATAGCCCATAGCAGGAGAATGCGAATCATGAAACTTTCCTAATATGCAACCTCGGAGTTTGTCTGGATGGGCTTAGACAACCATTGAAGTTCAAGGTCAGGAGAATCGTTATCTGTCAAAAATCGACCCATGATAATCAGTAATACGAAAGATCTGTATTACAGACACCACCACAAAGTGTGCGGTGCCATGGTGAAGCAAGTGCTGAAGTGTGTGCCATTAGGCAAAAGGATATTTCCGCAGTGAGCCCGTCATATCCCTCGCTGTCAGTCGTTGTAAGTCAAATGTTTCCTGAGAGCCAGAACTCACTGTATCGTCCAATATGATGCATTGGCGTTCCCGTGGAAATAATTGTAAGCTAAGAAGTCTGTTCTCTGCACAGTGAGAAGAATGTTCTCTCACATATGCACGGGCTACGTTTGCCTGACGCAAGGCAATGGCCGAGCTATCAACGTTTCGTGGCACGCAATATCTACCAAGTTCCATTTGCTTTCCTTCAGGCTTGCTTTCCCACCTTGTGCAGTAGTCTTACTTTCATTTGCAACACCTTCCACCTTAAACTTCTCTCGAAATATCTTAACATGTATTTCTCTCGTCAGAGTTTCATTCGTAGCCCACTTTCATTTCTTAAGCAGAAAGTTTAGGACAAATATGTTTTGGACAATATCCATCGTCTTGTCTTTATCTAAAAACCGTCCTATTTACTTTTCAGGACACAACGTTTCGGAGACTGAATTCTGTCTCCGTCTTCAGGTAGAACCTACTCAGCTGGACAGAACCAGTCCCTTTCTCCGGAGATAAGGTCTAGCTCTATCGATGGGCCCAAATGAGTAGCTCTTACCTGAAGATGGAGACAAAATTCAGTCTCCGAAACGTTGTGTCCTGAAAAGTAAACAGGGCGATCAATGCCCATAAACACAACATTTGTACTAATGTACCTTCGTCACAAACTTTTAGATCTTATTTAGTAAGTTTAGGTTTTTGAGATCACCATACAGGTGTTTGAATATGCCCCCCACATCTCAACTTCTAAACCAGCTCTCGATTTGTGTGAGACTTGCTATGAGCATTATGTCTCTGTTGGTCATCGCGACGTGGCATTAAATAACTTCCTACACGTACAACCGACAACTAAAGGATTATAATTTGCAGTTCCAGGCGCCTCAGTTGCAACAAAACGTGAAGTTATCCTCTAAACAAGTGAGCACGAAGCAATGGCGATCTATGGGGGAACTGAGGTATATTCCACATATTTTTACCAGCCAGACAGGTGTAACGATAACGCTCTGCATTAGGCGGTTTGTTGCCGACTTCCCACCGAGACGGCCCGGGTTCGAGCCCAGGTCTGGTCATGCGGGATTTCTGGTGGACAGAATGGCCCTGGGGCAGGATTTCTCCGAGTACTTCGGTTTCCCCTGTCAAACTTAATTCCACCGATTGCTCCATAATCATTCTCACCTATCATCCGGGGCTGGTACAATAGGCCAGAAGTGGCCTACACTGCAGTCTCTCTGACAAAGCTTCCCCCATCTTACATCCACCCCCACCTTTCCGCAGTGCACCCTGTTCTAGAAATAATTTCAGCACTTAAATTATATTAGTGCATTCAATTTCTACAAAAATCGGGTTTATATTATTGCTACATTGACGGAAAAATTCAGGGAACAAGTCTCCGGGAGGGACTTTAAGCCGTGGGTCTCATGTCGTAGATTTACGGCACGTAAAAGATCCTCATGTCTCTAGGAGACCTCTGAGCTAAATTTGGCCAAAAAGTTTCCTGCCCAAAGTAGTTTCCAATGCCTCNGACCTCACTGGCAGAAAGGGGAGATAGTGGGCACCAGTATCGGTAGGGTATGGTGACAGCAGAAATTAAAGGGGGACGTACAATAGACTATTAGTCGCGGTGCATGGGGAAAACCCACCCCTTCCAATAATAATAATAATAATACGGAAATATAATGAATTTTTTCCTTGTCTGTCATATCAAATACTCAAATTATAGTAAAAGGAAAGTAGGCTATTGGTTGTAATCTCGCTTAATTAATAAATAGTTCAGGAATCCACGCAAAGCAAACGGACTCCACTTATGGAAGCTCTATATGTAATCTACATTACAGAGCATGTATGCAGATGTTATTGAGAAATGATCTTCCTGAAGAGGTCAAGAGCACTGCAAACAGCTTCCGAAAATAAACAAATGAATAACGTCCACTGCAACTGCTCCTGTCCAAACATGGCCGCCCTACAGTGTGCTCAGTGCTCAGTGGGTTTGATCGAGTCCACTGAGAAGAGGATTGTAGCGAGCATGCATCATTAACAGGGCCTTAGTAACAGTGCGTCACTACTCCTCTTGTTCACAATGCAGCTGCAACCAGTGCCCCGCTTCTTCTTGCCATACTTCTCCTGACGTTCAAACCAGAAGCGAAATTTGCACAGAAGGTTACGTAATGACCCTATATAAACTGTTAAGGTTATGTAACATCGAATGCAACAAAATGTTTTGTATGGAATACTACAAAAGGAAGAATGTGGTCTTGGTATATGGGGAGGGAGATTACATTGCCATCTGGTGGAATGACTGGGAATATCATGAAAAATTAAATCCTATTATCTTGCAGGCATATATCAATGTTGAAACACAGACTAACGATCATGCGAATGACTTACATAATTCGAGTCCTTCGCGGGTTCAAATCCCGATGAGGTCACTGGATTTTTTCAGTTGACCTAATCCTTCCAGCCGCGCCAGGCCCTGGGGTTTACTCAGCCTCTAACAGAAATGAGTACCAGGAATTAAATAAATAATTTTCCTGGGGAGTAAATCGCGGCCGGTGCGTAAGGCTGACAAACTTACCGCCATCTTTGAGCCGATTGTCTAGATAATGTGGGACCCTCAACGTCTCACAACCCTATGTGCCTGGTACAGGGATAGCTTTACTTTTTTTTTTAAATCATCCAATAGAATCCTTCGACCTCACGAGAAATCTCTGAAATGAATATGTCGTCATCCGCTTCCTTTTTTAAGTTTTTGTTCAACGATTTTTCTTCTCTGTTGCAATTTGTAGGAGTCTATAGGCCAAGCAAAAATATCACAAACTTTAAAATACCGTGCGCTTCCTCGCGGGCACATAAGTCGATACGTAACGAAACACAACTACATACAATACACATTAGTGACGCCGATTTTGTTCCAGATAAAACGGATTCAAGCGAGAGAGACACGATGAGCATGTGGACCGAGTCACAACGCCCACCACTGTTGCATGCCCTCAAGAAATGAGAATACCATTCCTATACCTCCACGTCCTCCTACATGGAGTAGGACAGTGGAACCTCAGCCAAAAACACCATGAGGCATGTTTTCCAAGTTCCTCAAGAAAAGAAAAACATGAATTATAGACCATTTAAAGACTCAAAGTTGTCCCCGTGCTTCACTAATTAAGCACAACGCCACAAGGCGTATGGGGAGAGTGGTTGTATATAGATCCATATTTTCTTGACCTCGGCATTAATTTGGACTGAGTGGTCAGCTTTACGCCCGGGAAAAGAACAAGGTGAGCACCAGGGCTGGTCTGGACGAAGTGGAAAAGAGAAAAAAGCCTTTACCCTATCGGGACTGGAACTCCGACCCCTCGCACGTCCAGCCCGTAGCCAGTCGCTATACAGGCTAAGATACGTAAACATGAAGAGCTTTGGAAGGAAGCGGTTGTGGCCTATTTCAATATCCCTGCCAGCCTCCAAGCTTGACAATAAATAGATTAAATCCTTCCATTCAGTGAGGTTTTAATTATCCATGGCGATCACTGTGATGATTGCTGCTTCTAGGAAGTGAGGCAGCGTTGGCTGGTAGATATTTACATACATTTCGGAGGAATTTACTATATTCATCGTACTAGATTACATGGCGTAAATTTCCATGTACTTTCAACCTCAATGGAGATGCCTGGTAACACGGCCGAGATTAGAACCAAGTACCACCCGAATATAAGCCTACAGCAACGCTGTTACGCCACTGCGCTCGGTGCGTAGTTCATGTGAGGCACTACCCTTACTTCAGCGAATCTTTGTCACGGTCACAGGACCAACAGCGCGGCTGAGCCTTCGGTACCGTTACATGTACGTGCTTGAGGTGCCAAAGGCCTGAGTTCGGATGACGCCAAATCAATATCCATACTTCATCATGGCCGGTAGCAACGTGACTTCGCGGCGCCAGACACCGCTATTGTGCACGTGCCGTACACCGGTAACGCTCCAGACACTCCTTTTCAGGTGCTCCGTTCGAATCTCATTCGAATCACTGGGTATCATGGCCAGGGTTTTCCATAGCTTCCCTCAACCCCTCCAGGCAATTGGCCGGATAGTACATCCATCAGGACAAGACCTTTTTCTTTCAGAATACTTTTATCCAGTTCTTTGTTCACCAATCGATGTTATTATAAAAGCTATACAATCGAGACACACACGCGCATGCAGGCACCATTCACAGGTCCGACAACAGCTTTCAGTGTTCAACAGTTTTAAAGCTGAGCTTCGCTGACTGAGGTTGGATTAATGGGTTTAACTGCTTGAGACGTTAATCAATTTTAGGAACTAAATTCCCTTTCATAAATGTAGATAAATTAACTGAGGTTTACGTTGGAACCTCGCGGAATGCTGTGAATTTCAAAACACATTTTGTACTACTACATGTTGCTTCGTTCCAAAGCAGAGTGACGCAAACTAACAAACACTAAATGAGATACCGAGTAAGGTCGTCAAAGTGATACCGCTTCTGATTTGTATTCGAGAGGTGCCAGGTTTGAATACCGACTGAGACACCGACTATCCTGACTGAGGTTCCTCTTTGCTGTCATCTTCAAGGATATAAGTAACGGAGGTTTACCTCCGATAAATGCTGTGCCTATATGTTCATCTATCTTTGCCTTATCGCTGTCTGTGTAGTCGACAGACTAAGCCCTACCACTGGCCGCGTCATAGCTCAAGCGGTTAGTCGCTGGCTTCCCACCGCGGCGGCCCGGGTTCGATCCCGGGGGTCTGGTCAAGTGGGATTTGTGGTGGACAAAGTGCCGCTGGGGCAGGTTTTCTCCGAGTACTTCGGTTTCCCCTTCCAATCTTCATTCCACCAATTGCTCCACAATCACCCTCACCTATCATCTGGGGCTGGTACAATAGGCCAGAAGTGGCCGCAGTACAATGGACTTAGTCCCACCCTACTAGCAGTAAAAAGAAAAAAGCCCTACCATTGATTATGTAATATTTTCTTCTTTTATAAAGTGTCTCTGTAGTGTTAGCTTGTATTCTTATAGTACGCTGATTTCAATGAACCTGGTCGTTAAATTATGCGCGGCCATAGATGCAATGCCTCATGTGTGTGGAGTTTCACAATGTTTAACTCCCGCTGATGGTTTTTGTTGTGATTGGTGTATATACCCTGTCTTGTTTTGATTCTGATGTCCGGAGATAGGGACTAGCTATATCGATTGGGCCCAACTGAGTAGGCCTATTACCTGAGGACGGAGGCAGAGACCAGTCTCCGAAACGTTATTTTTAAGAAACAAAATGGGACGGTAGGTATTGTCAAACGAATGCAATATGTTACTTGAATGTGCACAAGCGCCTTCTGGCGGCGTCCAGTAGAGCAAGCGCCTCGCGTGCCACGCTGCTTGCTGAGGGCCTCCGCCTTCTCCTTCGTCATGTAAATCACTTGGGCTACAGAAGTCCATTTACATGTTTCGCCCTGCCTGCAGTGTTCTGAAAAACGGGATCAATATGGAAAGAGGTGACCTTGGTGCAGGACTGACCGTTCTGACGTCACAGATCGATTTTCTTATAACGGGATATTCCACCATCGCACTTGGTACGTGGAAATCGTTTGGGGCGTAGGAAGACATCCTAGACCTGTGTTTCTCAACCGGGGGTCTGCGAGATTTTGAATACAATTCGTTACTGCATAATCAGTAGCGGTTCGATAAGTATGCAAACAGCAGTGCGACCTTGTTCAGCCTCGCTCTATGATAAGTGATAACATTGCCGGCCCGTGGTCGTTGTTGCTGCGTGCCATATTCAATATTCCATTGTAATCATTAGGACCATACAACTTAACACGGACCAGAGATGTTCTCGAGAAGCTAATGGTTGCTCAGTTAGTCAAGAAATCTTAAGCTCCTAGTGATTACCGCGGCCTCAAGGGCCTGCCACTGATCCATTGAGTCAAACACTCTTAAGTCCACATACGTGTAGTTCCATGCCGTTTCTTCACGGCAAAAAATTGTCCTTGCGCTTAACTAATTAAGCACTACGCCAAGAAGATGATAGGGGGAGTTAATGTACAGGTCCACGTTTTCTTGACCTCGGCACTTGTTAAAAAGCTTCACGCCCCGGGCGCTTTACTCCCGGGAAAGAGCCCCCGGTACCCATTGGATAGGAGCCTGGGTGGGTCACAGAGACGGGCTGGATGATATGGGGAAAATTCTTGACTTTACCGGGACTCGAAATGCGACCCTTCGGTCGTGCAGCCTCTAGCCATTCGCTATACCGACTGAGCTATTCCGGCTCCCTTTAGTTGGTTCAGAACCGTCGGTCATCAGTGTAGATATGTAAATTAGATTCGCTTTACCTATTGCTTGTATAAAGATACAGATATACAGAGATAGAGAGAGAGAGAGACAGAGGGTGCCTGAGAGCAAGATGCGGAAGGAGGGGGAGAGAACACTGCATATTGAAGAGCTTCATAATGGGTTATTTCATCAGATTCGAAGAGGGAAAGATGGGCGGGCAAAGTTCCTCACACGGGAGAAATGAGAAATACATGAACAGTTTTGCTCAGAAGATTGAAGACCACTTGCCGATAGACGTATGTAAGAGGATCGGAAACACGGTGTGGAATTGTAAATTGGAATGATCTGGCTGATAACAAGGACCCGAGGCGGGCTAGTGTGAACACTGACATGAACTTTTCAGTTAGGGCGTTGAATCTGTTGACCAGTCGGGTGATCATCAACTTCTGAAGAAGACTGCGCTCAATGAAGTTTCTTGTAAACCGAGATTTTTGGGAAGAGGACGTAAGGAAGAATTTTGTACCCACGAGAAGTGACATAACAAGTGATTGAAAAATTAAAGTTGGCGTTAGCAGTGATTAAATAAACGAGGGTTGGCTGAAACATGTATGGGGAAATAAAAATTGACAAAAAAAATGGATGGAAGCCGTAAATGGAAGAGACGTCGGCCTGCACTTAGGGCTTAACTCTGATCGGAGGAAAGCAAAAGTGATCTTCGCCTACCTGTTGCCCAGTGGACCACAGAATGCCTCTCGTAGTCAAGGCTGTTGACATCTGCATTTTTTGAGAGTAGGAACTTTATGAGGGGCCTGTTTCCCGCGATGACCGCCAGGTGAAGTGGTGTATAGCCGTCTTCGTCCCGCGCATCAACCAGGTCCGCTGCCACCGAGAGGAAGATGTCGGCACACGTGAGGGAAGCGCTCTCTGCGCAGTAATGCAGCGCAGTCTTCATGGTACGGTCCCTCTCCTTCGCTGCTTCCGGCTGCACACACGCATGCGTAAGGTCTTCGCGTGTTTCACTGCTAAATCTGATCTACAGACACTGATGAGATACTGTATTGCAAAATCTGTAATGCAACTTGCGCCGATATGAGCCCTACTGTCAATGAAGAGCAAGTAAAACTTTTTTGCATTTGCCAAAAAAGGCTCATCCTACAATTTGCTGGTACAGTTATATAAATCGGAAATTTCATTAATGCCACATAATTTGTTTGAAACATTTTTTTTGTTATGAATGTAATATAACGCTATCCCTGTAACAGGCCGTGGAGGTCCATAGAGTTGTGAGACGTCGAGGCTCCCACATTTTCTAGACAATCTGCTTACAGACAGCGATGAGGTTGTCAGGCTTACGCGCCGGCTGGCAGCCCTTCACCCCCAGGAAGATTCCTGGTACTCATTTCCGTCAGAAGCTAAGCCGACCCCAGGGCCATAGTGCGGCTGGAAGGATTAGGTCAATTGAAAAATCTAATGACGTCATCAGGAATCGAACCCGCGATCTTCAGGCTTGTAGCATTGTACCTCAACCAACTACCCTGTCATGCGCCTCATTGAATGTAATATAAGGAAATATATTTTCTCGGTGTATGCAGTGTGATATCTGAGGCGAAACAATAGAGTTCTGCCTGTAATACTTTGTTTGCTTTTCATTAAATGAAGATGGAAAATTTGTCTTTTTCTGCAGAGACCCCAGAGAAAGTAAAATGGTTGTAAGCAACAAAATCATATACCAAGTGAACACTGTTATGTAACCTTAGATTTTAATTACCGTATTTACGCATGTATAGGCCGCGTGCGTGTATAGGCCGCAGCACAATTTTCAGACAGAAATTACAGAAAAAATAATTTTCTTGGAATATTATTTCAGGAGTAGAACACCCTGTATTACTAATTATGAGTATACTTTTTTTTAAATGAAGTGTGATTTCGAATATTTCGAATATAAGTTGCACCCCAGTTTCCCTCTTGAATTTTTGGCAAAAAATGTGCGGCCTAAGCATGCGTAAATACGGTACCATGTGAAGGGGAAAAAGATAACACACATTTCCTTTCACAAATAAAGAGGCCTCACACACACAAAACTGTTAAACGACTGAAATTCCACAAACACTAGAATAATAATTCATAATTCACACACACTACCGACATGTTTATATGGAACTGATTGCTGGGCAATGATAGGAAAGGGTACAACGTTTGGACTGACCCTAAAAGGAATGAAGACACTCAAGGAATTACAAACAGAACCCGCTCTGGACATTATCTCGAAACATAAAGCCACGTGGCTTCATCACATCGACAGAAAGCAAAGAGACTTAAGAAACCACTAAGCCGCGTGGGGCAGGCAACCGGGGCAACGGATGGGGCCGGAACGGGTTCGTAAGTGGCCCAGTTCCATGATCGCTGCTTGATGATAATACCTAAAAATTGCGAAAAGACATATAACTCGTTTGAAATAAACATGTCTGTTCCAACGGCCTCCCCCTTTCATCGAATATTTTTGAGTGGATTTCCGTTTCCTTGGTTGAGAAACGCTGTACAGGCAATAGAGACTATTTTAAACCCGTCACCCCCCCCTCCTCCAAAAAAAAATCTGTACTTGGTGTGGCAGTTGGGCTACCTTCTTGGCAAGAATGCGCCTCACGTCTTGGTCCCTGGATTGCTGGCAGGCATACATGAGGGGTGTCGCCCCCTCGCCAATAGCATTCATGGGGGATATGGGCCGGGACGGGGTCGTAACAGCTTGGGGGTTGGGTGCACCATACTGGGCAGGCAGCTCAGCCATTGAAGACGTCATCACTGGATTTGCATCTGGCCGGAAGACATTTCCTCACCTGCGGAGAAGAACAGCATTTCGAAGGGATTAGTGTTCAAGTGTGCGGAAAAATGAGTAATAAGAGCAGTAGTACTGTGTAGTGTCACTGAGAAGTAACAGTAACTTGGGCCTAACAAGACAGTGAGCCCTTATGTGGTTTAAAATTCGCACTGTGTAAACTTACTGAAACTAAGAATATATAATGCAATACAATGAATACGAAACATGGTAATCGGGCCATTCACACAACCACTGGGGGCAGGAGACGTCAGAAAATTCAAAGTGAACGATCAACACCTGAACTGAGAAAACAGGTACTCGACTCTCGAACTGCATTCAGCAAAATGCGCACGGAGCAAGCCACTGCCACAACACTGATGGTCTCGAAGTCTCATTCCCGAATAAAAACCGAACGAGCGCAGAGAGCCATACTGGCTGAGGAACAGGAGTGCGGAGGGGGTGCATAGGGTAACAGCAGCTATGAAAGAGAGAGAGGAAGAACAGGGTGCACGGGAAGGCAAATACAGACTGTTTCAGAATAAACAGTACACACAGTGAGCTGGGCAAGACACTGATCAAATTGAAAATGCATTTCTACATTTTAGTCACAAAGTATCTGTCACGTCCCAATGCTTCGTTTCTTCTCATTATCGAATAATAATCCTACAGCTGCCATAGTGTCTCTAGATCAGTGCTTCTCAACCGCCGGGCCGCGGCCCAGTAGTGGACCCTGGCATCAATTATACTGTGCCGCGAGAGGCTCTTCTGGAATTTGTCGTTTTCGTTTTCTAAGCATTTTTCATGAATAAATATTTTATAGTTAGCTTAATGCATGAACTTTAACAAAACTGGAAAGATACTTACGAGTAAATTTGTTGGGACTGAGCCCTCGTCTTATAAAGAAAGAACTTACTGGGCCACGGTCTCATAAACGTTGAGAACCACTGCTCTAGATGACACAGTGGAGCCACAGCCCCAACATATACATTCGTAATGAGAAGAAAGCAATTGTTGCATCCTGTCAGGATTGCATTTTTTCTTCCAACTCTCTGTGGAAGTTGCCAGTATTTCAGAAGGGCACAGACACGGATATAAACTAACATCCGAGGGCCGCCTGTTAAAATAAATCCGTCCTTCACTTCAAGAATCCCTGAAGACATTTTATTGAAACTTGATACTGGGTAGATAAATACAGTCTATCGCCAGTTCAAACTGTCGTTAAAATCGGACAACTGCGGACACTCCACAACAAGACATACTGTCGTTTCAATGTTCATGTCAGGCGCAACTCGATAAGCATTTATTACACCGAAGAGTTTTGTGACCAAATGTTCTATAGACGAATGAAGTAGAAATCTGAGTTTTCATCAAGCCTTACAGTTTTCGACATATTGAACTAAATGCAGAGAAGGCCCCACAACTATTATGTCATGCGTACATTTCCTATCTTGTTGAAAATTTCATGGAATGGGGTAAGCGTAAAGCTGACCCCCACACTGCACATTCTGTGACATGTTACACTCATGCACTCTATATATTGAAGTGAACAGATGAGATGGAATGCCCAGATACACGTGTAAGAGTCCCCCCACCCCCCTAACTGGCTGATCCTAGCTGAAGACATGGATAACATAGTCCAGCAAGGCATGCATGCCGGTATTCAGGAAAGCGCCACACGAAATGTATGCCTATTAAATGAAAGAGCAAAGAGGATGTCGCGTCTGTCCGTGCGCATGTTTCATTCCCGAAATTACTGATTCCACATCGGTTAGATTAAGTCTCAGGAATCTGCGTTAATAACAGCCGAGCGAATTGTATTTTGATCAGAATGTGTTCCACTTAGTTACATGAAAAATCGAAACTCTTGTTCCTCCGAAAACGAGTTACAGCACAAAACGAAATGGCATGGGCGTGTAACATGAAATATTGATCTCATTAAAGTCGACAACATTTACACCAAACATTTTCGGATACGGCGATTGCGTAACAAAGCGTAAGGAAAAGTAATTTTCAATTGAACAGCGTAGTGAAATGATTTGATTTCCAACAGCAAGTTCGATTCTACACAAAGTGTAATGATAGAATACAGTTTTCAAATAATGAACACCATGCAAATGAAATATGCAAGATCACGAAAGAAGAATTTGCAAAATACGTTCTCGTGATAGAATAACTCTAGACGGGGTTTGGGTTGGTAACTGGATTTACTGAACACTTACAGAACGTAGCTGCAAGTAACTATAGCTATAGTTAGCTATCGCTAACTCACACACTTTGCAGTTCACTACAGCATGTACTAAGTTTTCCAGTCTGCTATGTCTTCACTTGTCGTTGTTTGGTAACGGCTTCCAACGCGTAGGTCCGTCAACTTCTGTGTTCACGTCCTTACCGGCCGACGAATGTCTCACAACGAACTAAACTCTAGAATTGTCCTGCTTGTAGCACATCGGCATGGACCGCTTCCGTATTCCATCACGTAGCAAGTTAGTCCATTGGTGCGTGTATCGGTCATACGACGTCTGCAGTATAGCTTTGTTTATTGCGTGACAGACATGTCGTTTTCCCAAGAACGAGTTTTCATTGTGCAGCATTATTTCGCCAGTCGTTCTTATGCACGTGTCACAGACAAGTTGTGTTGGGAATATCCAGATTCTGCAGTTCCTAACAATTCGATGATAACAAGAATAATCAACCGATTTTGGGAATGGATCAGTTTCAGATAGGAAGAGATCCGGGAGACCGGCCATTTTGACTGAGGCTAAACTGGCTGACGTGGAAAATATGTTGCAGCGTTCCCCTTCATAAAGCCTGAGGAGACTATCAGTGCAAGCAGGGATTTCGTACGGAAGTGCTCACAAAGCGATGAAGAAGTTACACCTTCGTGCGTATCGTGTTCGCTGTTTGCAGGAACTGAAGGATCTGGATAAAGAAAAACGCTTAGTGTACTGTAGATGGTTTTGGACATTTGTTGGCAACAATGGAATTGAAGAGTCTGATCGGGTTTTCTTCAGTGACCTTAGTGGCTACATGAACAGTCAAAACAATAGAATTTGGTCATCTGAAAATCCACATGTGATACATGAAAAGCCCTTGCACTGTCAGAAAATTGGAGTGTGGTGTGCTGTATCACGTCGTTGAATAGTGGGCCCAATTTTCTTTGAAACAGCAGTGAACAGTCCAGTGTACCAGGACATCATTACACAGTTTATTGCGCTTCTTGAAGTTGATGAACGTGAGTGTTGGTTGCAGCAAGATGGCGCCACATGTCACACATCTAATGAAACCATTGCACTTCTTGCGTGAGTTTTTCGGTGACCGTCTCGTTTCGAAAGGAGTGTGGCCCCCGCGTTCGCCGATTTGTCACCTGCAGATTTTTCCCTTTGGGGGTACCTCAAAGGAACTGTCTATAAAAACAATCTGCATGCACTGGAAGACCTCAAGAGGAACATTACGACGGCGATTAACAGCATCAGTTTGGCTGCGCCATAGCTCAAGCGGTTAGTCGCTGGCTTCCCACCGCGGCGGACCGGGTTCGATCCCGGGACTGGTCAAGTGGGATTTGTGGTGGACAAAGTGGCGCTGGGGCAGGTTTTCTCCGAGTACTTCGGTTTCCCCTGCCAATCTTCATTCCCACCAATTTCTCCACAATCACCCTCACCTATCATCTGGGACTGGTACAATAGGCCAGAAGTGGCCGCAGTACAAGGGACTTAGTCCCACCCCACTAGCAATAAAAAACATTACTGCACAGCAGCATCGCAGGCTCCTGGCTGTGCCAAGATGCAAGTTACTGACGAGGAGGTCGCCTCTACGCTTCATGCGTGTCTCTTAAGCTGCACAGTTCTGATAGCTTGTCTTACAGTCACGCAACTTTCAATAATTCAACCGCCAAGTTCAACTTCTCTTCACGTAAGAGTAATAATAGCCATGTCTTAGTGCAGTGTGTTGATACACCGCGCTACTCGAACAGTTCGAAGAACATTGACCTTCATGAACACAAGGTCTGAAGTTTGAACTTTGTGAATAGTATATCAGGCACTTTATTAATAAATCCCGCATCTGCCCAACATCCTCTCCCTTCCGCCCACTCACTATCCTTCAGTTTGGGCTCAAACGTTTCAAGGCAAGGTTTGGTCCTGACAGCAGTGACTGTAAATAGTACTTCTCTACTGTTTTATGTTTGATGTACTGCCTCCATCTTCAGGATAGAAAAGTAAGGTATCTAGCGGACTGCAAGGTGTCAGATTAGGAATGAGTGTTTCGTAACCTTCGGCAGGAGATTGGCCAAGGCGCACGCGCCAACTGGCACACGAAATATTCTGCTTGCCGGAAAGTGTCTCCATGCGATAGTGCACTTAGTCGGGGGGGAGGTAAAAATAGGTAAAGCTATCCCTGTAAAAGGTCATGGAGGCCCATAGGGTTGTGAGAAGTCGAGGTTCCCACATTTTCTAGCCAATTGGCTCACAAATGGCGGTGTGGTCAGCCTTACGTGCCGGCCTGCTACCCTTTACCTCCAGGAAGATTCCTGGTACTGACCTCAACCTTCCGGCTTATAGCATAGAACTGTAGTTCTGTCCATCTCATGGCCGATAATTCGGTTTATCTCTCAGTGAACAGACCAAATATTTTGTTGTTGCCGCTGCTTTCCGGCTGTTCAGGGAACTGTGATATCCGTTGTCAGTGAACCAGTTTGCTGACAGCTGTTTCCGTAAACGGGCGTGCGAACGTTAAAACATCGGCTTCACTGCGTCTTTTACTCGTATACGAGTACTGCGAGCACCGCGCCACAGCTCAGGCGGTTAGTCGCTGGCTTCCCACCGCGGCGGTCCGATCATGTCTAGTCATGCGGGATTTATGATGGACAAAGTGGCATGGGACAGCTTTGTTCCGAGTACTTCCGTTTCCTCTGCCAATTGTCGCTCCACCGACTGGTCCACACTCATCATCTGTCATCCAGGGCTGGTAAAATAGGCCAGTTAGTGACCGACGTACCAAATGGACTCAGTCTCACGCACAGCA